ACCCAAACCCTCACCCACACCCACATCCATACCCAAACCCTCACCCATACCCACATCCATACCCAAACCCTCACCCACACCTACATCCATACCCAAACCCACACCCACACCCTCACCCACACTCACACCCACACCCTCACCCTCACCCACACCTATCCTCAAGTTGATTTTTCAATTCCTATGGAAATTGCTCTTCAAAAAACTACATGATAAAATATATGAGAAGAAGTAAATTTGCACGAGGTGTAAAAGGACGAAGTGTAATGGGACAAGAGATAATTAGGACGAATTGTAAAGAGACAAAATGAAATCGGACAAATGGCATTTAGGCCGAATCGTGCCGGACGAATAGTAAGGGACGAACTGTCGTTTACCGAAATGAACGGTCACCGTAAAATTATACTCACTGACACGTTTGAGATTGACTTTGTTTGGACCAGATACCACGATTGAGAACTCTCCTTGAACATGTGTACTATGCGTTGTCACAACCAAAATATATGTTGTGTTCGACTGAAGCTGGGTAGAGACTTTGAACTGGTTGTTATCACAACCATCATCATTCTCTAAATGCAAATTCATGGATGGATTGTTTGGATCAAAATTGTCCTTGTAGATATAGCCATATGTATTGATATTGCTGTCGCTACGAACATTATAATAGCCGCTCTCATATACATTTATTCGAATGGCTTCGTAATAATAATCTGGCATTTCACAAACACTATTACGCGAATACATTTGACTAGCTTCATTAAGCATCGATGAATACATCGACTGAACAACTAATGCCATATCTACTCAACGAGAAAAGAAACATAATCAAGCCTGCTAGAATATTTATAGACTGGAATACTATTAAAAGTTGTTTTTCTTTCATGATACATGTTCTTCAAAAAAATATTTGATGAAGAGGCTTTGATAATTATACTCAGATTATTTTTAGTAGAGAAACAAAGAAAAGCAATAATAGTTATTTGATGTCACTCGTGAAAAAGAATACCGAATACATTTCTTTGATTCTTCTCATTGTAAAATTTGTTGTAGATGCCGTGAGGCTATAAATGGTAACGACACGAATAAAAAGTACGTTAGGGTTCCGAACTGGCATTGAAGTTGAACGGACAGCTTCAATAAAATCTATGACAACCGTCCACTCTGTCAAAAAAGTACATGTCTTGAGAAATTCTGCGCACCTAATTCGAAGCTTTGTTGAACTGTATGGGAATATATTGTGTTTTACGAAGAAATGTTAACGAACAGAGTTGTATTCTAGTTCTTTGTAAAAAAAACTCACTCAATTATCCGATAATCAATAAAACCGATCGCGAAAATTTGTCACTATCGACTAAAGAAAGTTTCAAGGCTGAAACTTTTTTTCATATATTGATTACAATAGAATCTCACTTCAGTTGCTAGCGACTGTTGCAAAAGTTCTTGGAAAAAAGTCATACTATATACCTCCGCAATTCGAAAGGCTAAAAGTCTTAATGCTTTTTCAACTTGTCAGTAAACGTTTTTTTGTAGAGGACGATAAGTTCTTTCAAATCAAAAAATTAGGACTTCTAGCCCTTAGAATAGCGGAGATATATGGTTTGACTTTTTTCAAGAAACTTTTGCAAAAGCCGTTATTTGTGATGAACATTTATTTTTTACCCAAGACCATTAATTTGTAAAGACTGTAAAAGTTGACGAAACGAGTACTATAAAAAAACGCTTTTTCCAATGCTAATCTGAATATTCTTCGTTCTTATGGACGTCTGTAATAGTATATTCCATTATAATAAACGGTACACTTTAAATAATTTGAACTTCTCGTAAAGCAGCTTCACTGATGAAAATGTATCAGTGTCTGTATGACTAAGAAGGAAGAAACGTTAACAACCACCAGCCCTATGTCATCTCTATTTCAGATGTAAAGGTATGTGAGAATGTTGAGTCAGTGACTGATCTGTCTTAAGCATCCAGATCGATCTTCATGAAACCTTCAAAATCTTTTGCAAAAAAAACTATAGAAAGAGCTAAATTCTAATGAAGGCGGGTGTGGTTGCTTTTCAAAAGAAAACTTGTTATTTTTGTTAATATTTTTTCGAGCGAAGAAACTGCTTCTACACATATTGTTCTCTGTTTAGTAAAATTTTATTTAATTTCGTCAGAGGATCAAGGATCGAAATTGAGGTTAGAAACATTTTGTGAGTTTTTTTCGTTTCTCTCTTGATCACTGGTGAAACAGTGAAAACATACTCACTGATACGTTTGAGATTGACTTTGTTTGGACCAGATACCACGATTGAGAACTCTCCTTGAACATGTGTACTATGCGTTGTCACAACCAAAATATATGTTGTGTTCGACTGAAGCTGGGTAGAGACTTTGAACTGGTTGTTATCACAACCATCATCATTCTCTAAATGCAAATTCATGGATGGATTGTTTGGATCAAAATTGTCCTTGTAGATATAGCCATATGTGTTGATATTGCTGTCGCTACGAACATTATAATAGCCGCTCTCATATATGTTCATTTGAATGGCTTCATAATGATCTGGCATTTCACAAACACCACTACGAGAATACATTTGACTAGCTTCATTAAGCATCGATGAATACATCGACTGAACAACTAATGCCATATCTACTCAACGAGAAAAGAAACATAATCAAGCCTGCTAGAATATTTATAGACTGGAATACTATTAAAAGTTGTTTTTCTTTCATGATACATGTTCTTCAAACAAATGTTTAATGAAGAGGCCTTAATAATAATACTCACGAGGGAACATCCCCAACTTGAGGGTGTGGGTGTGGGTGCGGGTGTGGATGTGGATTGAATGTAAAATGCATGAAGTAGCAACACCCACACCCACACCCTTTTTCAGAAAATATTTGTACTGATACATACAGAAATGAATACCTTTAATAAATTTCTTTTCATATCAGAATTTTTATAGAAAACTAATCCTGCTATAAAAAGATAGAATATTGTATTAAACTACTTTAATACTTACCACAAGAATCTTTCATCGATAAGAATTTTTGAATTCGATGATTTAATGAATCAGTAACAAATATGTTTCCATAACTATCAAAACTAAGACTAGATGGATTTGATAATTGATTAGATTGTGATCCTTTCCCATAACATCCAAATAAACATCGAAAACCATTCAAGCTTGAACCAACAATGCGACCATGAAGCTGATCTACAATGAATAAATACTTCTCAGCATCTAATATAATTTCAGTTGGACAATTAAGTGTGATTGCTGGATGTAGTGATGGACTTCCAGCCACTGTGATACCATTTGATTCTTTCGACTGGAACAACTGAACACGGTTATTGTAACAATCTGCCACATATAAATCCAAATTCACATCGACAAAGATCCCACGTGGAAGATTCAAATGATTCGAGGCCGATCCTCCAATACCTATTCCAGCAGCAACACGATTTGAAGTCGTCAGAGGATCATTTAATGATCTTTTCACTACTTGATTACGATTAGGCATTGAACAATAAAGATTATCATTGATATCGACAAACAAACCAGAACATGATGAGTTGACATTCATCACTGTGACAAAGACATTTGTTTCTGCTATCCATTTCTGTACTCGACCATTCTTCTCACTATCATCAATATAAATATCACCATTTGATGTCACGAAGAGCGAGTTCGGTTCTGTAAAATTACCAGGAATGATCTTTGCTGGATTGACACTTTGTTCATGCCATATTACAATTGTGTTATTTTCTCTATTAGCGACATAAATTGTGTTGTTTGTGTTCACAAAAATGGCGCGAGGCCATTGACCAACAATCGATCGATTAGCAAATGCAATTCCATTGAAATTCCAAGTGGCATTTGGGCAAAACTTTGGCTGATTGAATGAAAGAACTAAAAACAGGGAAAATATAAAGAATATCAGATAATTACTTTAAACGTAATGAAATTGCTAATTTATATATTCGCAGAAGAAAAATAAAGCTTCTTCAAAAGAGATTTTTCATGAAAAAGACATTTACAAATGTTTGTTAACATTGATTTTATTAATGATTTTTATTAATTTTCATATGAAATATTTGTTGAGACACAAGTTTCAGCTTTCAAACATTTATTCAAAGTTTCTCAAACTTTTTTTGAAAAATACGTAAAGTTAGTTTAGAAACGAAATCAAACAGAAACGATCAATGTTCGTATGCTACCTCAATTGTTTATATTATCGGAAATATAACTGGATTTATCTTAGTAAATTTCATTAAGAAAAAAAAAATAATGTCACCACATGTCATATAGGTACTGAATGAAAATGAGAGAAAAAATATGATTTAGTATGATCCTTAAAAATTCCTTTTTTCTTTCTATAGATATTCTTCATACACATTCTCGCTCGAAGATTTCTTATCTCAAGAAATTTCAAAAGGGTCATCAAAAATCACAATATTTCGTCTTTGATTAATATAAATAAAATAAATCTTTCTTTGTAATCTTAATAGTATTTTACAGATTTCAATGTTTTTCCTGAAAAACAAAGAACAAAACAAGAAAATCTTTATTTTCATGTGAAAAGAATAAATAATTCTCTTGAAACAAAAGCAATCATTATCAAAACATCTTCAAGAAAAAGCAAAATAAATATTGGTAAAACTAACAAATCTCTTATCAATCAGAAAACCTTTTTCTCATTGAAATTTAGAAATATAAACAAAATTTTGATGATTGACTTATGTAAGATTTTTATTTAAGAACTATCTAAAATAGATTTGATTAAAAATCAATTTTTCTTATTGATCATCTTAAATAAATGAATTTGATTAAACAAATAAATATTTTTATTCAAAATCAGCTGAAGAGATTTTATTTATTTTATTAAATAAACAACTTTTTTCTTTTGTAGAAAATATTCTTTGTTTACAATTAAAGATATAATAACATATATATATCTCATTAACAATTACATATATCACATTATAGATTGTCTTCAACTATTCAATATTGCTTTCTGCAATTACATATGATGATAACTATCCAAAGAACAAATCATCAATCAATCATTTCGTTATGAGAAAACTCATTTTTTATAATATTTCATATTGAAATTTATCTCTCTCAAAGAGAAACAATGACTAAATTGGTTTTCCACAAAAAAAGAAGAAAATTAGTTGTTAGAATTTTGATATTTTATTTGTTCTATTTTTCTTGAAATTAAACATATCGAAATATGAAATATGAAGTTAAATAATAGAATAATTTATATTAAAACTATATCGACAAAGGTATGAAAAGACTTTATTTCGATAAAAAAACTGTTTCATTGATGAAATATTTTTTGAGACATATCAAATAAAACATGAAAGCCCTTTCTACCACTCCATTAAGAACAGAACTTTTTCCTTGTCTACTCTTTAATCTCAACAAATAGGCGAGGATTATTTGCCTTCGGCCATTGACACATGGCTCTGTCTAACTTGAACACTTTATTTCCTTACACACATTCTGTTACACATTGGCTTAATTAATCTTTCTCAACCACTTTTTTCTTTCATTTTCAATAATTGAAAATTTCAATATTGAAATGTGTTTAATAACTTCTGTTACTCATCTATTCACATTTCTTCATTTTATTCAACTTTTCTTCGACTTACCAAAAGAATCATTCATCAGTAAAAATTTTTGAATTCGATTATTCGATCGATCAGTAACAAATATGTTTCCAGCGCGATCGAAACTCAAACTAAATGGATCTTTCAATTGATTAGATTGTGAACCCTGTCCATAACATCCAACTAAACAACGAAAGCCATTTAAGCCTGAACCAATAATGCGACTGGTGCTTAGATCCACAATGAATAAATATTTCTCAGCATCTAATACAATTCCACTGGGACAATCAACTGTAATTGTTGGATTTGGTGATGTATTTCCAGCTACTGTGATACCATTTAATTCTCCTGACTGGAACAGCTGAACTCGATGATTTCCACAGTCTGCCACATATAAGTCTAGATTCACATCGACAAAGATGCCAGCGGCATATTTGAGTTGATTCGGGGCTGATCCAGGACTACCCGTTCCAGCAGCAACACGATTTGAAGTCATCACAGCATCATTCAACGATCTTTTCACTACTTGATAATGATCGTACATTGAGCAGTAAAGAGTATCATTGATATCGACAAACAAACCAGAACATGATGAGTTAACATTCATCACCGTGGCAAAGGTATTTGTTTCTGTACTCCATCTCTGCACCCGACCATTCTCCTCGCCATCGTCAATATAAATATCACCATTTGATGTCACGAAGAGAGAATAGGATTCTGCAAAATTACCAGGAATGATCTTTGTTGGACTGACACTCTTTTCTTGCCATATTACAATTGTGCTATTTTCTTGATTAGCGACATAGACTGTATTGTTTGTGTTCACAAAAATGGCGCGAGGATCTTGGCCAACAATCAATTGATTAGCAAATGTAATTCCATTGGAACCCCAAATGGGTTTTGCAGAAAATGTTGGCTGATTGAATGAAAGAGCTAAAACGAGAAAAATATAAAAAAATATTACACAAGAACTGTAAACGAAATGAAATTGTTAATTTATGTTTTTTCTTGGAAAAATTCATTGAGATCAATTTTGGAAACATTTCTATGATTGTTGTTCTATTTTCTCGGATGATTTGTAAATATCAACTTACAAAGGGCTGATTCATCGAAAAAGATCAACTTTATTTATTGATTTTTTGTTGTTGTGAAAGATAAAGAAATATGTTCGATCTTTGAAAATATATGATTATTATTGTAGACAAAAAAAATAATCAAATCATTTTTTTTTTGTTCAAAGAAAATGAATTCGAAGAAAAGAAAAACAATTGTTTAGAATGAAAATCACTTTATTGACATTGATTGAAATCCAAACAAAATGTCTTTGAAATTCAAAATCAATTCTTATTTTCATATCAAAAACATTGTAAATTTATTGATGTTAAATCATTTCAAATACATACCATCATCTTTGTTAACGATCTGCATTCATCCAATGGCACCGTTATCATCGTTTACAAAAACCTACTAAATCTTATCACCATCTATATTCTCACTCAGTTTTTGTGCTCTGTAAATCATACTTTCACTCATTCACATTCGAAGAACATCCATAACGCTATTCAATACTCATGAAAAGGGGAAATTTGCGAAAGTCGCCGAGACTGGCGATTTTATATTTTGTTATACAGTACAGATTTTGAAAATAATTTTAGATACAAAATCAAAAGCGTCATCATGGTTTTTACTATGAAATAATATGCCATGTCTAGAAATAACCGATCGATCTATTTGTTTTTTCTCAATGAACGATTTAGAGACTCCTCTAATGTGACACACATATAACTTATATTTCATCACTGATAGTTATGGCAACCTTTTATAATTTCAACACAGTTCAACAATAAAATAAATCGCTATAGAGAGATACATCCTCTGAATGAGTGAGGTTGAAGTTTGGAAGAGATGAGAACCATCACTTTAGAAAATATAATAGAAATTTCCTGTCAAGTTCTATAATCTATTATTTGACTCTCTTTTGTTCAACTAAAACTCTAGTCAATAATGTCATTTGTGTGCAATAGTTGATCTTCAATATGTGATAAATAAAAGTATTTACCTGATGTTTCATTGTTAAGAATGAACAAAAAAGTAATAATGAATATGTAGATATTCCACATTATTCAACAAGATTTGCTCTTTAATAAATTAGGCAACTGATGAAATAATCTTCTTCTTCTTTGTCTTCGATGAAAACAAAATGACACTCATTGTATATTTTCGCTGTACTTATATATCCCTCTTTCTCTCTCTCTTTTTTCTCATTTATTTCTTCCAAGATAACAAAAAGAGAAAAAACTAGTAATCTTGAGACGGTTTCATCGTAGATAAGTGAAAGCATTGATTTCAGATTTGATTAATGAACAAAATTGTTTATTTAATTTGATATTTTTCATTGAATTTCATTGGTTTCGAAAGCACAGAATGAAATTTTAATTCGAAATGATTCTTTTGTTTTTTGAATTTTATAGAAAAAACTTTAATTTTAGTAAAGAAGAACATAATGAAGAGAAAGAAAAATTAATCAATATCGATGTCAATCATCGGACATGTTTTTAATAAAAATACGATATTAAAAATCATTGTCAAGAAATCATTGACGTCAATGAATAAATCATGATCAGTTTGATATATTTTTATTTAAACCTGTCAAATAATTTGCTTTGTCAGAGCTCATTTTTAATAACGTTCTTTATTTCTCTATGCGCAATAAGTATCGATGAGAAAAAATTCCTTCTTTGAGTATTTTGATCTGTTTTCAAATAAAAACTCACTAGGTATATAAAAAGCCGAATTGTTCATCGCTATACGATGGATTTTTCTGAAGAGCATCAAAACGATACATGAATTGAACTTGAAATTCAACATATGCAAAAGCAAATCTCTGAAAATAGACGGATCTTATCAATTAGCTGCAATAGTTCTATTGAAATATAGTCAAAGTCGTGAAACTTAGATCAATAATCTAATATTCTTCATAATGTGGTAGCGACGAGGTCTCAAGCACGATGCACATCTCTGATTCAAATTCATTCTTCAACCAGAGATGAGAAATGAATCGGTGGTGTGGGTGACTCATAAGGAAATGATCATCTTCTTAGTCTCACACAAGTTTTCACCCTAAGAATTTTTGAGGGTGTGGGTGCTGTTGAGTGTAGGTATGAGTATGGGCGTGGGTGTGGGTGTGACTGTAGGTGTAGGTTTAGGTATGAGTATGGATGTGAAAGTGAATAGAAAGAGTAGACACCCACATCCTCCAGATGCAGATCTCTATTCTATATTCATTAGAAGTTAGTCAAAACATTTCCACGGCCAGCTATTTCTCAAATGCACATTATATAGCAGAAATCATTAAAAAAAACAACTGTTAACGGAGAGTCTTCTTATGTGTTCGATACTTTAGTAGGAAAAATGTTTCATCAATAGAAAGAATGATTGTTTCTATGAAATGATAAATAGATACGATAAAGGTGAATTAATTTAAAATAACTTAAAACATAAAGGAATAAGCAAATAAAATTGAGAAGAAACCTTTTTTTTATCGAGTAATATTGTATTACATTGTAGATAAGAATAAGTAGGAAGTAAGGGAATAAGAGAAGAAAAGAATTACGATGGAGTATATAAATAATAGTCCAACTACAATATTTTTTTCATCGATACTATTTTACATTTAGACGATTATTGAAAGACTAGCAATATGTTTCTTCATTTTCTCTTTATGTTTTCAATAGCTTTTATTAGTATAACACATGGAGCAATGGATGTTAATGCTTTAGCACGATGTATTATGTCTGAAGCATCAACTGGTAATAGAAATGAGCAGATAGCTATTGGTTTTGCCTGTCAAAGGAATAGAAATCATGCATCTAATCAACCTCCAACATATAATGTCACCAAACTGGCTCAAGATATTTTAGCAGGAAAAATAAATGATATAACAAATGGAGCAAATCATTGGTATTCACCTCGTTCAATGCCAAGTGAAGCAGAAAAACCAAGATGTAAGAAACCTTTTGGTGCAGGCCGTATGGATTGTAACGGAGGATTGGAAAAGTCATGTGGAAAAAGTCGAAATTATAAACCTGGATGGGCTAAAAATCGCAATCCAGTATATATTTCAAATGTGCGTGATTGCTATTTCAAGTTTTTCTTACTCTAAGTTTTCCTTATTGTCTTTATGAACTTTTTCTGATTATAATAAAATACATCGGAAATTTTCATTTCAACGAAAAAAAAATATTTTGTTATAGGTTAGAACTAAAGTCATATTGAGGGTGTGGGTGAGAGAGAAATATTCACACTCACACTCACTCTCGAGACTTCTACTATCTCAGTCAATTTTTATAAAAGTTGTAAAGATCGAGTTAGAAGTGGTCAAATATTCTGTTATTGGTTGCACCATAACTCTAGCATAAGGTATATCTCTAATGCACATTTTACGGAAAATATCCTACGAGATGCAAAGTTCCACATATTCTGAAACCTAAGTCAGTGGTATATATATCGGCCAACATCGCTAGTTTTTTTATTCATTTATACATGCCAGATTCTTTTTTTTACCCGTTTTACTTTTAGTTGAATGTTTTTTAATAGAAAATATTTTAGTAACAAAACAAAAAAAAATTTGCATCCTTCCTAACATCTAGATATGATTTGTTAACTAAGTTATATTTTAATGTTCGTCTGTTTCGATGATTGCTTTTTTCTGTTTGCGAAGCCGTTGAATTGTATTATAAAGAGTGAATGGTTCTCGAATAAATGACATGGTTAAAGAAAGCATACACATGAGCCATAATTTTACGCAATGGAAATAACTATTGATCGTATTAATAGTTACAGTCGACTGATGATTGTTGTTGATTAAATCTCTTAGCTGATTCTGTTCGATCATTGACAGATTTAGTCGATGATCGTCTTCGACCACTAAAAACTGTACGTTATCTAGTGATAATTGTTGTAACGGTGTTAATACGCCTAAAGGTACAGTTGTGTCATTTTTTCCAGCTACAAGGGTGGGGTGGCTAGGATGTGGGTGTGGGTGTGTATTCTTCTCATTCATTACCCAAATCTATACTCTTAACGGGTATTAAGGAATATTCCTCGTTGACTTATTAGTTCTCATAGTAATCGAATAAAACGGTAAACTGAATTGGTCAAGTATTTTATGCGTAATTCAACTTTGTTTTAATGTATGATCATTAAGAAACTCATACACAAAGTTGATAGTAGAGTTCAGGTTTTTAAATAGGCTATATGATTTCTAGGTTTGTGGCGGGCTAGACCACAATCTCAAACAGATTGTCTATGAGCACTATCTTTTGAGAATAGAACAAAATTACTAATTCTTTTAGATAGGCAATGCATTTATGCACTGATATAATGAAATCGTGTATATATTCAAAGTGTAATTAATTTTCGTTGAACCATTTAATGATCTTTTCAAGTATCTCTGTTGACGTCCCTTCACCATTGATTACATGAATGGTCTCTATCCGGCGATAAATATTATCTAGTCTTGAACGAAATTGCAAATCAGATGCCAGTTTTTCTTCTTCTATATTAAGTGGCAACGATGAATGGCGAATGCGAATTCGTCGACAACGCTCTTCCTCATTCAAATATATGTATACGATGTGTGAAGGGCGGATGAGATATGAAGGCCAAATCAGATGTTCGTCAATAGATGTTATATCTGATTGATGAGCTAGTTGGTAGGCTATTGTAGATGGCCAATATCGATCGAGAATCACTACACTATTGTCCGGAGTTGAAAGAAGCTCGTGGGACACCATGATGTTGCACAAGTTGTAAAAATTTCGTTTCACTGTTTCAGTTTGTCGATCAAAATATGGGCGAAACAAGAGTAGAGCTGGAGGCACAGACGGAATTAAACGAACATCGGGAACAAGTTGCGAATGCAATAGCTCCTTTGTCAATGTTGTTTTTCCAACCCCATCGAGTCCTATACAGAATTTCTATATACATTATATATATATATACATATGTAGTCCGCTTACCTTCGAGATTGATACACCGAGCAATTGTCTTATGGTTAATATTCCGTTCATTTGACAAATCGTTGCGCACTTTCTCCAGTATCGAGAGAAATGTAGAACTATTTTGAAAATCCTTTGACGATTCCACGTGATCCCATAGTGTCTGCACAATATCTTTCGACATTCCGTATTAATCTAGAAAAGGGAATACTATTTTTGAATAGATTCAGTATTGTATTCCTTATTGCTGAAAAGACCGTGTTGTTTCATATGTTAAAACTTTCCAAACAAACCTCCATGAACGGAAACGGTCAGGTATCCATCATTTAAGATGCATTAGATAACCGCTTACGTATACTATGTACAGTTACCTTATATATCCGCCTTCCATATAATAACAGTTTATTGAAACGTAGTCATTCACAAATGAACATGTTTAATCGTGAAGATATCTGAATAAAATATTAGTCTATGATGTTTAGAAGTTTGTATTTGTGTATGCATAAGAAAGAATAAAGAGCAGATTGTCACACTCCGTTGAAAAATATGTTACTAACTCTTCTACACAGATGCAGTTTTGTTTCAAAAGACTAATTTCTTGCCGAAAAATGTTGGAACTCTATCTAAAAGGATAAGTAATAAAGCTTATTTGTAACAAAATTCTCTGCAATATGAAGACAGTACGCACGACGGAGATTAATCTTGAATTATTGTTTTTTATTGTGATTTATATAGCCATTTTCATTTGAACAGCACCATGAGGACTGTATTCATGGATTTTAAAATCATCGGCTTGAAATTCATCGATGTTGTCACATTTTTTTGAAATGATTAGCGTTGGAAAATGCTGAGCTTTTCTCTGCAATTGTTCTTTTAGTGGCTCTATATGATTTAGATAGACATGAGCATCGCCCATTGCATATATGAAATCACCTGGTGTTAAATGGCACACGCTGGCTATTATGTGGGTGAGAAGTGAGTATGAGGCAATGTCAAACGGAACACCAAGACCCAAATCACAAGAACGTTGAAACATAAGACAGGAGAGCTCCTTATCGGGTGACACATTAAACTGGCAAAGAGTAGGACACGGTGGTAAGACCATTTCAGATAACTGAGATACATTCCATGAAGACAGAATGAGACGACGCGAATTCGGTTCAGTTTTTATTAAGTGTATGAGTTGAGCGAGCTGATCAATACCTTGATTTGTGTAATCCGTATAACAGCTGATATACGGAGCCCCCCAATGCCGCCACTGAAAACCTAGATTAAAATTATTTTTTAATTTTTTTGGCATTATTTAACAATGACTGCAAGGGTGGGTGTGAGTGGCTTAAGTTACTATCTTTATCGCCCATACACACACCCACCCTCAAAACATATCCATTGTAGTAGAAAAGGAAAGAAAATAAGATAAAACAATGGATATCGTTTCACATTAATTTTTCTGATCAATTTTTCTAGTGATACGTCGTAACCAAAACTCAAACTAATACGATGTCAAAATCAATATTTTCGATTCCAAAACTAGATCATACCCAACAGGTCGAAATGAGGACTTTTCGTATTGGGGCATATATTAGTTTGAAACCCATATTGAAGTTATTATCCTGCATCTACTGTATATTTTCTTCACATTTGTAGCGTTCTGATTATTCTCTATAAGTAGTAGTGATACGCTTTCGTCAATAAATGATGAAAGACTAACGCTATTTCTAATCAAAACGAATGTATTTACCGTATATAGGACCGAGATCACCTTCGTCACGTTGCGTGAAACCCTGCTTGTCGAGAAACGCTCTTGATCCATGATCATTCCAAATTTTAACACCTTTAATGTCGAGCAATTTTGAATCAGTCTTTCCACCAATCATCCATATAAGTTCCTCAACAATGCCCTTCCAAAACATACGTTTAGTTGTAAGCAGCGGCAGTCGATTGTTTCGTAAATTGAATTTCATGTTTTGCGGACCAAAGATTGAACGAGTACCAACACCAGTCCGATCGGTTTTTTGCAAGCCTTTCTCGATTACTTGACGGACTAGATCTAAATACTGCGTTTCTTCAGCATTCTCTGTTAGCAAATTTTCGTAAGAAGCAAACATCTGAAACATTGGAACCGACGAATAGAATATGATTGTGGATTGTGGGTTGTCTCTAGGTTCTATATTCACACCCTCTACAACATGTGGAGAATGTATGGTTCGAGATTAGTATTTCGTTTTTTTATTTTACTAAACTAAGATGAACAATCAATGTTTTTGATTCTCAATAAGCCGATGCACACTCGCAGTTTTCACTCCCATTCTCTTAGCGCGTTATGATGCGGTCGACTGTTATAACTACCTTGATGTAACTAGTTCTAGATGCGCTGGGGAGGAAGACAATTGATAAAGAATATATCTAATGTAACAAGTGTCCTAGGGCAAAGACAACAGCGCCGCAAACTATCAATCCAGAAATGTGTAGAAATAAGACCAAAAGTAAGGCAGTAAAACGCTGTTTCCGTCTGTCGCAGTGATTTACATGCAGGTCAACGCGCAAAATAATGTTATGGATAAATAATAAGAAAATAGTATATTACAGTGAGTTCTCCTTTGACCAAGATAACAATGAAGATGAGTATCGGGTTACTTTTCATATTTCAAACGAGAAAAACAACAAAAACACGTCTGTTGTGAAGACATGGAGAATGAATAGTGAAACGACTGAAATATCGAAAGAAACGGCACACTTTCTTTTTTTATTTCATAAATACATCGTCGATTAGCCGGCTTATCGTGAAAGCTTTAACATTATATTAGAAGCATTTGATGAGAAAAATAAAAACGTGTCACTTGTTTTCATTGCAACAACCAAACAAAAATTTATTGTTTGGCTGATTTTTCTGAGATTTTAAGTTTCATTTGAAATATCGGGTTATAGTTAGTTCTTATACGCAGTCACGCAGAGAGATATCTTCGTTAATAATCATCTTGAGGGTGTGGGTATGGATATCCATGGCGTGTAATTATTATATCTACACCCGCACCCATTCGACAAATTTTGTTAATAACACTACTACAAAACGCTTACTTTGATATATGGTTTTTGATTAATGAAAAGAGATGTATAGCGACGAAAAAATGGGATATTTATATGCTTTTTCGAAAAGTCCGTC